ACGTCAAACTAGACTAGACTTGACCCTTCTGGTTTAGTCTAAGAACATAAACCGAGCCGGCCCCGGTTCTGTGTTTGCCCTCCATATCCTACTGTAGTCTTTGTCTTGGACGGGCCACAGCAGCCTCCTCACGGGGGCCTCGCAGGGACTTCAGACGAGCGGCATTCTGCAGCAGCAAAACGGGGGCCAAAATCAATGTCCTGTCAGAGGCACAGCAGCGGGGGAGTGCTGCAAAATCAGATGGGCTTCCCTCCTACTCTCTGGAATCTGTTTTATACCTGAAATCAACAAGCACTCAAAGACTCTGACGCTTGAACAACCTCAATGTATGAAAAACAAACTCTGGTTCTTTGTCACGCTGATGAGAAGGTCACAGAGAAAAAGTTTGTGACATCACATGTGGCAAGAAAATGCATTATAATTGAATTCTCTCAAGAAGATAACATTACACTAGATTACACTTGGCATTATTGTGGAATGTTCTGGTTTCAGTTTGCACAATAACCAACAATTCAAGAAAAGATCAGCATGAAGAAGAAAAAACACTTAAACAGTATTTGGAGATTATGGGTTATATTACATAATTGAAGGCTTCATAACCCTCTTTGCATAACACAAAGGAAATGTGAGAATCCACAATTCCCCAGATCCCAGTGTCGTGACATTATCAGTTGACCAACATTTCAGTCCTTTAGTTTGCTCAAGATATTACTGTAATAGATGGGATATGAAAAGAGCCTCATTGTGGAAAACAATCACAAAAGCTGATCCTTGTGATTCAAAAGATATGGGTGCTGAAGCATTTTAGTTTGTCATTTGGTACTCGCTTTGTGTTTTTCTTTTGAGCGTTTCTTCTCCAACCTGATTCTTTCAGAGAGGCACTTATCAGAAAGCCAGACACTGACACCTGGTGGTCACATGAAGCCCCTGCTCCATGTGAGACATTTCCTAGAAAGACAAAAGATACCTCTTCCAACACATTCCTGGGAAGCTTAATGTAAGATATCTTGGTGTGAATTATATTAAATGTTAAGCCTCTACTTTTCAGCAGGAACATAAAGGCTTATGTGTAGCTGTGCAGTTATAATTTCATGTTAGCTCTCATAACCACACATCTAAATTCAAGCTTATTCAGAGGGATTTAAAAATCTGAATATCTTTTTTGTTACGTGAAATATTTCATTTACTGCCTCACGTTCTTGTATAGAAAGTTATAGGAAATATATTAAAGGTGTACCAGAGGTTTTTTTCTTCAGGTTTTATAGTGGATTTATAGTGGACACTATAAGAAAGATGAACACTAATAAACACACAGCAAACTGGTTTACAGTGTTACAGGTGAAGGAAAATGGGTTGAAAGTTAAAAAAAAAAAAAAAAAAAAACATTTAAAATTTCAAATTTTTTTAATGCAATTTTGTTGATTGTTCCAAATGACCACCAACAATGTAAGCCAATTCCTTCTAAATACAATGATATTATGCTCGTTACATATCACTACATCAGTACAAATCCATTAATATAATCTGAAATGTGTCATTGCAATTTTCTGCACAATTTAGAAATCAGGCTGACAACAATTTTATACTTTAAATATCTTACATTTTGGAGTTTAAAGTACTTCTTCCAGCATTTTAAAACTCAGCTACTGCATGGTTGAACTTTAACAAGCACTTGCCGCTCATAAAATTAATAGGCAATAAGGGGGAGGAAGTGTTAGGACAGAATCATATTAAAAAACAAAATGCCTGTTAGATTGTGAGAGGATAAAAGGTGAGAAGTAGGAGACAGGACATTTGAAAAGAATAGTTTATGTTGAACAGTTTAGTGCAGTATGCTGGTGTATTAGCTTTCAATCCTCTCTTTCATTTGGAAACATTACAATAAAAGTCTAATTATTAGAACCCTGCGATCACACCTGCTTCCTAACACTGCAAAAACACAATTTGATTTGGTGCTCACACATGCAATGGCATCTCCTCACAACCAGGGGGTAGAGGCAGACAAACTAAACCACCCTGACCTGCAGTAGATATCGGAGGCGGCCTGCTGCTGAACACTGCTGATAATGTCACAAAAGCAAAGCTGCCAAATGACCTTGATGCTCTTTACTCCCTTTCTCACCCCAACTCCCTTCCAACGCTCTGACCTCAATCGGGCTCAACCAGAACCATTAGTGAGCAATATGCCAGATAACAGGGGCCAACAAAAAGTGTTCATAGATTGTGCCTGTGTGTGTGTGTGTGTGTGTGTGTGTGTGTGTGTGTGTGTGTGTGTGGTTTTGTGTCGTGTCCAGAGGCTTCTGTTGTGTGTGTGGATGTGGAGGGTTTCTGGCACGGCTGACGCATTCTGCTGGGTTTCACGGGATTTCTTGCAAGACCGCATGCTGAATGGGGGTGGTACAGGACCCGTGGCTTGACAATGAGTGTGTGGGTGAGAGAAAAAAAAAAAAAAAAACAAGGGGGAGAAAAACAGCAGAGAGAGAGGATGAGCGGAGGAGGAAAGAATGAGTTTTGAGATGCTGATGGGAGGTGGTACAGGACCCGTGGCTTGACAATGAGTGTGTGGGTGAGATAGAAAAAAAAAAAAAAACAAGGGGGAGAAAAACAGCAGAAAGAGAGAGGAAAATGAAAGCGGAGGAAAGGAAAGAATGAGTGTTTGAGAGAGACAAAAAAAAATGCAAAATGTGAAAAGAGAGAATTAGGACAGAAAAACAACATCAGGAGGCAATAGAAAACAGCAGATGCAATAAAAATTGAAGGGATAAAGCTGCTAACACAAGAGGCGGGAGCATGAAATCAATTATATTGCTCCACTGCAGGCACAAATACTGTAAATTTACTGGCAAGCATTGTAATAAACATTAATCAGAGAATGTTGCTTCTGTTACAGATGGCTTGACCTAAATTACCACGTTGTAAATCATACAAAGCTAGTTGGCAAATATTTTCCTTTTATCCAAACTATTTCATTTTCAGAGAGACCTGCTTTTATCCAAGGTCTTAGTGTATGTTAGCCAGTATGTGTTAGAAGTCATTTCATGTAGAGAGCCCATAAAACATATTCTGAGTGTTTAAAAAAATTACATGTTTTATTTATTGACTCATATTTCAATGCTACAAAGGCATATGTAACAACATGCAGCCTGTCACTCCTTTGCTGCCTCACCTCTCACAGTCTAACAAAGACACACACACACACACACACTTGCACACTCTTCTATACATCCAAATGTAGAGAAACATTAATTCTACAGCAGATGAATGAGTGTTTTCCTCCTGGGAGTTGTGGGTAAAGTGAGAGCGTTGCTATTTCAACTGCGGTGGGAGGAGGGCGGGGGGGGGGCTTTGACTGACTGCAGAGAGAGGGCCGCTGCTGGGACTGTGTCCGAGGCCTCCTGCTACTGACCCAGGGAGCAGACAGTAAAACCGGGTTTTTTATGGAAGTTCAAAATGTGGTGGGTCCCCCAATGTGAGAACTGCTGTATCAGATTTTGTACAGAAGTAGGTTAGACAGCATAGCAACCCTGTGAGAGAGGCTTTGTGTTCATCTGTGGTGTTTGACATACACGTATGTGCTGTGGTTAGTTTACTAAGGCCATGGTTTAATTTAACTACAATTCTTCAAGCTCAGTACCTGCAGATGTTTGACATTACTTGAGCATGAAGTATACATCTTCATTGCAGACGATGATATTGCAGTTTTTACTCTGCAACAGAGTGAATGAGTGGCCGTGCCTTTAAGGTTTTTATTTTATTTTTACATCTTGGTATTGATACTTTCATCTGATGAGTAATTCTTCCACCATTGGCTTGTTGAAAGGAACATTTTATGTTTTCTTAATTAAAGCACATTACCTATCCATGTCATGTGGGCCGCTCTGAGCTGAAACATGTTATAGATTACAGTTCTTTTAAAGCTCATACATCACAGTGGCAGAATTGTCCATTCAGTCCTCGATTCTCCTGATGAGTAAGGGCTGTGTGCCAAAAACACAACAAAATAAAAACATCGGGGAGTCATGGAAACGAGGGGATTTATTGAGCACATGGTCGACTTGGCAAGTGTTTGGTTTATTATGTTTGTCAGGTAAAATACAAGACGATTGTGTCTCCTCCTGTGGAAAGTCAGTCTGTACAGGGGGCAAACACACGCACACACGCGCACACACGCACACACGCGCACACACACACACACGCACACACGCACACCACACACACAACACACACACACACACACACACACACACAGGTCTGGAGATCAGCTACTGTTTCCACATGTTGCGCAGCTACCAGTGAAAATGACCAGATGACCAAGACAAAACCTGCCTGTTTCCATCATCATGGAATTTGCTCTGTTTTGCAGCAGGCAGAGGGGGGGAAACGGTGACGACAAGTTCAGGGTTCGGAGGTAACAGAGAGATGGTTTGTGCTTTAATCCCCCAAAGGAGTCACCTGTGAACAGTTAGACTGAGGAGGACGGGGCCACTCAGGCTGCCAGACCCCATGTAGGAGGAAGATCTGGTTTAAATTAATATTTTTCACCAAACCCAGGTAGCAGTTACAATTAGATGGGAAAGGCCAGTCAACATCTTAAGTGCATGACAAACACCTGATTCATAATCCCTTTCAAAATATCTTCAAGGTAGAGGCATATTGAAGATTTAGAGCCCTAACCATACTTAAACCAAAGTAGCCAAATTGCACAGTTGAATGCCTTTTCACATAAAAACGGATCGTCTGTGACTTTTTTTTTTTGTAACTTGCTGAGCACAATATTGAAGAGAAAAAAAAAAAATCAGCTCGTACACTACAGTGCACACGCGCAACCCCGCACGCGCGCAGAAGGTCTTGGCATGCACGAGGGGGCAAACCTTTTTTTTTTTTTTTTTTTTTTTGCGGGGGCGTGGTAAGGGGGCGGCACTCTTCCAGCGCAGCAAAGTTCAGGATAAAATGTGGATAAGTGATGCTTTATCGACTGTAGTGCAAGAATCCCGAGAGGAGAAAGACCCTCTCTCTCTCTCTCTCTCTCTCTCTCTTTAAACAGCAGCTTTAAAGGAGTGGAAGAAACACATCACGTCTTTGATTTATGTCACATGGCAGTCAGTGACACTCGTCACCGTTCCACCTGAACCCTACTTTGAAGGCGGATTTTCTTTTTACCTCCTGCTGCTGCGGAAGTTTTTTCTAACAAGACATCACATCTCTTGTAAGGATCTCAATAAGCGGGCTGAATTCCAACTCATTCAAGGTAAATTATATCCAGAGTCCACATCAAATTGCATCTCTTCAATTTCTGCTTCAATATGCATTAGGCTACTCTACACATTTTCCATTAGGTGCTGGCACGTTTAATCATTCTGTCTCATTCTCATTCCTTTGCCTTTAGAGTAGGGAAAAAATAGAAACCTAAAGGGGAATCAACACTAGTTGTGCTTCTTTTTAGACTTACACATTTTTAGTCATACTAAGTTGTTTCTTATCCTCAGTGAACCCTATGAGGTTACCCATGGCCAAGTGTCTGTTAGCCAATTCACTGTCCTCCCCAAGTTCAATATTGACTCGAGTCCTTCAGCAAATTTGATAGAAAATTCCAACACTCGTATAATCCAGTTTTGCTCTCTCCTTTCCGACACCTTTGCCAGCTCTCTTTGTAGGAGAGGAAGAAGAAGACTGTCTGTGCTGCTCCTGCTCTTGAGTTTTGACCCTTGAAGAGGATCACCTTCATCTTCACCTGAAGCACTTCCCGGGATGAAGCATGTATCGCCGTTGCTGCTGAGGGGCGTTTCCATGCTCCTGCTGCTCCTCACCACCAACTCCATGGTGATGCTTCCAAACTCCACGAGCTTGGAGCAGATTCTGGAAAAGTATCACGACGAGAAGGGGGACTGGTGGGAGGCCAAGCAGAGAGGGAAGAGGGCCATAACGGACAGTGATGCTCAGCTCATCCTGGATCTCCACAACAGGCTCCGAGGCCAGGTTTACCTTCCTGCTTCCAACATGGAGTACATGGTAGGTGGATAAAGGACTCTCTCTTTCAACGCTTTGACCCCATTCTGACCCTTCTAAGAGTCTTGTTCACTCATGGACCTTGTAGCTGAGAGAACTGACCCAGTCACCAGACTGGCTGGCACTTGTCCCACTTGGCTCACACACACACACACACACACACACAGCAACCATGCATGTGAGCGCCTTCACACACAGCCCCTCCCTACCACACACACACCGCACACGCACACGCACACACACTCACATACAAGTCTGCACCCATGTGACATTGATTGTTTTGCCAGAAGAGAAGAATTCCACCACCTTGCCAATGATCACATTACTACTGCATTTTTTTTGTTTTTTTTTTACCCTTGCTAAGAGATTTGTTTGACTTTATCCTTTGGCCATCACGTGTATGTTCAACGCCAGATCACTTTTCAGCGTGCAATTAGAACCAGAGCACGACACCAGGGCCTGTTTTACCAGCTGTCTACCCCCCACTAAACACACACATCTACACACACGCACACCACACCTTCAGAAATTCTGCGCTTTGCAGATCTGGAACTCTCCCAAATCCACAACATGTGTATTTACCGCTTGACCGACTCAGTGCATTGCCACTGACAGCACTTAGGAGGTTAAAAATCGATACAGTGTGCAGAGGGTAATGAGGTTTTATCGTCTTTCATCTCCACTTAAAGAGCTACAGAACAAAAGGCAGCATTATTCCATGTTAGAGGCAAATAAACAGTTCCTGCTGGGGGCAATTGCTGGACTATGTAATTGTATAATTGAGAGGTTGGACTTGAGGACCCCTTATGTGTGTGTGTTTTGGTCTGTGTGTGTGTGTGTGTGTGTGTGTGTGTGTTTATGAAAGCTCCACTCTGCCTGGCAGGGTTCTGGCTGAGGCACACTCTAGTGGAGAAATGCTGAGCCAGCACTGCACAGCTCCCCTTATACTGTCTCCTGTTACAGTGGTGGCTGTTTTTTTTTTTTTTTTTTTTTTTAGCTACAGGGGCACCCAGGGGTGAAATATGGAGAGGCATGCAACAAGAGGAGGTGAGGTGAGGGAAATAGACTGAGAGCTAGAAATGAAAAAAAAAAAAGTAAGGGAATAAAATTAGGGGAGTAAAAACGATAAAGAAGATGTCTGCATTGTTCAGAGAGGCAGATTACAATATTGGAGTGAATGTAATTTGAAAGAAAGAAGAGTTAGGCAAGAGGGAGTCGGTGAAGAAAGATTTAAATATAAAGAGAGAGAAAGTGGCCTTTATTTATATAAGCTCAAAACCTATTTGCGGATTTGAAAATGTCAATTTTTCCGGCAAGAACAGTTCAGGTAACATGAAAAGTTGCGTTTCAGTGATTTTCTGTGCTTTTATTTGAAAGTGGCTCTGTATTTCTCAGATTTTCCTCCGGTCTGCATTGAACTGCTGTCACCTTTCAGAAACCTCACAGCTTCACTGTACTGGAAGACTTAATACACAATGCTCCCTTGCTCACACACACACACACACACACACACACAAATATGCTTGCCCACATACATAGCTATTTGCCCATCAGCTCTGTTCATTGTGTGCCATTGTGTTAAACCCATAACCCTGCTGACCCTCTGTGGCAATCATCACAGAGACTCCAAGATAATATCAAATCAAATCCCCCTCCTCCCTTCATCTGTTTCCTGTCCTTGCCCGCTCTCTCTCTCTCTCTCTCTCTCTCTCTCTCTCTCTCTCTCTCATTCTGCCTCCCTTACTCTTATCCCTGTGGCTCCGTTCCCATTCTGTCATTATCCAACATAGAGGCCCCACAAAATTCCCTGGATAAGCATTCACACTCTGCAGCGATCCACAAAATCTTCAATACACCTTCAATGGGGGTAGCGCTTCTGCCTCTAACTCAAATGTTGACCCACAGGTATAAACAGAGAAGTGTCAGCGTTTGAAGCGCTGCAAGACAAACAGATGGCATCTTGGGAGAAAGAGCCCCACCTGCCTTGATGTTTAACTTGGCTTTGGTTGGCTGCACTCAGGACTCAGGTGGTGATGTTAGTCTGTTAAGATAAACTTGAATTCACATTATTCTGTTTAGAATAAGAGTTCTACTGTAGGCGTAGCACATTTTTGGATTACCCTGGCTGCCCAGTTGGCCAATAATTAAATAAATTACAAAGAAAATTGCCTTGAATTACCACCATAAAAGATTGTTACAGTTATGGACGAGCATTGGAGCAGTATTTAGACAGTGTTGATCAGGGAAGAAAACAGTCCAGTTAAGTAAAATAGCATGTTTTCTCCCAGCTTATTTCTGCAGTTTATCTCAGAGAGTGTCTTTGGTTTTCCTCTAGGGGTTGTCAACTTTATACACCCAAATAACCTCCAAAATGATGGGATGTCCCCTTGCCTCCATAGGTTACATAGAGAAGAAACTGAATACGATTGTGTAAAAAGAGTTGGACCTCCTAAATCACGTACAGTAGCTCCTGACAGTGTTTTGAATCCAATGCCATCCTACAGTGAGGCCCAAAGGAGAACCTTATCCAAAAATAGCAAAAATGCCACCCAAATGTCACGAAGCTGGACTCTCTCCAGGCCTCACCTGCACTGCCTGAATCTTCTCCAAGAATATTGCTAACAGGAGAGGCAACAAGGTGTACCCTTGAGGGAGTCCAGTGACCACACACCAACTGCTTGATGTAATGCCAAGAATGTATATAGGTATCGCTCTAAATGCTCTTATGATATATGGCTTGCAATGGACCTTCCAAGAACGATTCAGGAACCTGGTCTTGAACAAGATCAACAACATCCTATCACCCTTTTCCAGCTATCCTGCTTTATCTTGACTTGCCAAGGAAAGAAAAGCCATTTGGTCTTTTCTTCTTTTTACACATCTGAAACATTCTTTTGGGACATTCAAAAGTTATCAAAGCATTTTTATCCTTTGTTTTTTTCCCTTGCTGCAGCTACAGCCCCTTTTTGGTCTGTTGATGGTTCTTTGCTGATTCTGGAGTCAGCTGTGCCAGCATGGCTCGGACAGCACAATAAATTACCAGTCATGACGCACATCTACCGAAAGAGCTTCCAGTTCAAGCGAAGCCGACAGCTGGTCAAACTATGTCCCTGTTAAAACATGATAATTGTAGATAATGGTATTTTCCGGTCAACCACAATCAGATAATGTGCAGTCGGAGGACCTCTGATGGGAGATGAATCTGGCTGAAATGAACTTGATGACACAATGTTTACTCTAAATTGCATTCTGAAGAGGCCTTTTTTAACGTAGTCTTTGAAACACATTGGACATTTACGTTAAATCTCATGAAAAACTATTGATTACTTTCCCTGTCTTTAGAGTGTTGATTTAGTCATCTCCATGTCTACTTTTCACCTTTCCTCCTATTTGACACCATCTCATCATCTTGTTGTTCTGTCAGGTTTCTTATTGACCTTATTGCCTTATTTTCAACTTCCTTTCACCAATTCCCATAACTTCCCTTGCTGCTTTTTCAGTATTTCTCTGCAAGCACCATTGATTATGTGCAGGAAACCCAAACTTGCAAAGGAAGTACTTTTTAGTAATGCAACCAGATGACCAAGAAAGAGAGAGAAAAAAAAAAACATTGGTGCAAATGAAGTGTTAAGCAAAATACACAATGCAGTGTGCAACGCGCTGAAAGACTTAAGCAGGGAAGGTGTTTTTCTTTAAGGGGGCCCAAGCAGAGGTTCAGCCAGGGTGGGTTGTGGGGTCCTTGGTTACAAGGCCTTCCCTGCTGGGATAACTGTGTAAACAACAGCAGGTTTGACAAGGCAGCTGCTCCCTGTAGCAGATTCAACATCTGACAAAAATGTGCTTTGCTCGACACTTCCTGAGTCTGCTTTTTCCGTTAGCTTAAAGACATTGTATGGTTACTTCGTGGATTTATTTTCATTTGGTTCAAGAGCATCACAAATCTTGTGATGGAAACCAAAATCAGCTTCTTTCCCCTACAAGACACTTTAGCTAGAGTTGTGTTAAACTACTTTTTGGAAATCTTCCGTAGTTGTGGCCTAAGCTAAATGTTTTCCAACCAATAACCATCCATTAATGGGCAAAAACATTGTGTTGACCTGCTTAAGCGTGGAACGTCTTACGTGCTGTGGTTTGCAGATCATTTGGCAGTTACCACAGCCCACTGCAATGTGTTTCAGTCTGCTTATCAGTGCATACATTGATTCGTGCAAGGAGGTCACTTGTCAAGAAAATCGAAGGGGAAAATGACTTGGATGGAAGTCAAGGTTATAACTGAACTGCTTGCTTTTGCATTCTTCCAATGCTGAGGCTGACATTTCCCTCAAGCTTCTGTTTCAGCATCATCGGGATAACCACAGATTTAAAAAAAAATAAATCAATAATTCTGACATGGTAAGGCCAACAGAGGTAAATTCTGCGCAGGGGTAGAGTTTCAGGTAAATAAATTCACTGCTTCCTGCTTTAGCCCTGGCTCTGTCAGTCATCATTTAGTGTTATTGTGCAAGACAGACCACAGGCACTACAGCTGAGGTTCCTGTAACACTGATATTCTCTCTCTTTTCAGGTGTAGAGGTGAATGAAAAAATATACCCCACACCTTGTACGGTTTATTTTTTTCTATATGCTAGTCGTGTAACATTTTTACAAGGATTTGTGTTGAAACCTGAAGCAAAACACTGGGCAGAATCAGCTGGTATTACCTTGTTGATTTAAACAAATACATTGCTATAGCCCGCAGGATTACGAGAAAGAGCTGAAGTTAATTTGCAGAGCTGCCAGACATCCTGTTGTTAGGTAGGTGTGTGTTTCGGGAGTAACGCAGAAAACAGCAGTCGTTCCTGGTGGGACTTAAAGTGGGTGACTGACGATGAAGGAGGCGGTGGTGCTAAGAAGCCGGGTAGTTATTTTAGTGTCTGTTATTGGATGAGGTTTCAGTGATGGCAGAGCTATGACTTCCAGGTTCCAATGTGTGAAATGTGCAAACTTCTGACACCTCTGCTCGCATACTAATGCACATGCTCACAAACACACATTCACACACACACACACACACACACACACACACACACACACACACACACACACACACACACACACACACACACACACACACACACACACACACACCCACACACTTCAACTAATTGACTTCCTCGTAGAACCCTGTGACATTACACCGAAGGTGAAAGTGAAGGTGTGCAATTAAAGGAACATATAGTATCCTTCGTAGGAATTACAGCTTGTGTTATTCTAACATTTTTTTTTATGGCAGAATGTAGGTCAGCAGAGAGGAAGGACACTCTCTGCATTCCCAGAAAAACCCTAGAATGGGAATATGATCCCTTAGTATCCAACCAAAGCCAAACTTAACTGTGAGGGCAATTCGGAGAGAGGTAACAAAAGCTTGCACCCAGACATCTCACCAAAGACATATGGAAGGTATTACTTAAGGGGGGGAAAGCGGTTGCATTTTTTGAATAACACCCAATCCCACGGGAAAACCCATATGGGGAAAGTCAGCTGAGCAGCAAGAAGAGAAGTGAAAAACTCCATATAAAGCAGCAGAACATCAATGTAGTTTAGAGATAAGTACCCTTTACTAAACACAACAGCTGTAATCCATAGCCCGGATCATAAAACATGATAAGTAATCCATGTTCACCTCTCATTATTGGCAGCTGAACGAACCTTAGCCATTCCATGACCTGATATTGCTAGATCCATGGGCAATATGAGCAGCTTTGTCTCGCTTTATTTCCAAAACATAATCCAGAAAACAACTTCTTTCTTGTTTGCTGTGCAGGTGTGGGACACAGAGTTAGAGCGTACAGCAGAGGAGTGGGCGGAAACGTGCCTGTGGGAGCATGGGCCTGCTGGTTTACTGCCACAGATTGGACAGAACCTGGGAGCCCACTGGGGAAGGTAAAACATTGTGTTCTCAAAATATCAAGCCTTATTTGATTTAAATTTGAGTGTCAACATATTTTCCATTTGTACTCCACAGTCAAGTTGTCTTCCTGATTCTAATTAGATTAACAAGCAACACCTGGTGCCAAATCAGTGTCAGTCCTTGTGGCTGTAATTTATCCCCTAATGTCCGGTTGGCAGCTAGAAGCTAAAACAGTTATATTTACTCTCTATGGTTTGAATTTGATCCTTTATCTACATACTTTATCATAAAGCTGTAATTTAGTGGAAATTACTTTTTATGCACTGATTAAAAAATGGATTCCTTTGTCAAGCAGGTTAGTGTGCTTTTAAGGGTGTTTGTTCCCTGTGTGATACATAGTCCATGTATATGAAGTGCACAATGTAGAAGGGCTTTAAACCTGCATTCTGTAGAGAGGCCAGCGAAGAGCGACTTCTATTGTTGCAAAAATTCCTGGCCCAAATCAATGCTGACAAATGGTTGAAGTCATGATAATGTCCTCTTTTATTCTACAGTCAACTTTGTCAGTACAAATTCAAATATATAGCTACCACCCATATAGCTCAACATTCATATAAACATAGTGATTTCAGTAAGGATGCAGCCATTTACATGGAAATTAGCTGCTTAGGTTTGCACTTCTATAAACAGTTTTTTTTAAGCTAATAACCACATCTATTTTAAATATAACACTTAAAGGTCACCCTCTGTTTTGCGTCATTTCTTTGTCGATAGCTTTTTAAAAGAGGCCTTGCTGTAATCAAAGAATAGGCTTTCCATAATACCAACTCCTACACCAAGAGAGACACAAGACAGTTGAGATGTTGTTTGGAACTTTTTTTTAATCCCAGGTTTGCTTTACTCATATCTCCAGGTATCAGCCTCCTACGTTCCATGTGCAGGCGTGGTACGATGAAGTGAAAGACTACACCTTCCCTTATCCTCAGGAGTGTAACCCGCACTGCCCCTTCAGATGCTCTGGCCCAGTTTGTACTCATTATACACAGGTAGCTCTCGCTGATTCATAATGTATCATCGAGGGAGATGTGGAGATCCTTTTGAAACATATTTTTCATGGTCTGTGTTTTTATTCTGTTGCAGCTGGTTTGGGCCACCAGCAGCCGGATTGGCTGTGCTATCAACATGTGTTACAACATGAATGTGTGGGGGCAGATTTGGGCCAAAGCGGTCTATCTTGTCTGCAACTATTCACCAAAGTAAGCAGAAAACAAGTATATTGTGTCTTTTTTGTGCTATGAATGTAATATAGGTGATCATTTTTTGCATGATTCAGTTATGTGTGTGTTCAATAAGTCTTGCTTGTTATATGAACTGAACAGGGGAAACTGGTGGGGCTATTCACCTTACAAACATGGGACCCCGTGCTCTGCCTGTCCTCCCAGCTATGGAGGAGGCTGCAAGGACAACCTCTGCTACAAAGGTACGTGAAGGGAAAATGGAGCAAGTTAGAGCAAAAGAATGCTGAAAATACTTACTATACTCTGGTTTGTGATTTTACCTGAAGATGACAGCTCCTACCCTTCACAAGAAGAAACGGAAGAAAACAACTTCATTGAGCCGGAGGCCCCCCGTGCACCGCAGAAGCCCCGTTTGAGGGCCTCCAAGCCCGAGCCTCCCAGCATCCCAACCACTTCCAAGCCCCCCACAGAGGACCGGCAGAAGAATGAAGTGGTGAACACACAGCAGATGTGTAAGCTGCCATTTAACTGTTTATTCTAGATCTAGTTTCTTCTCGAAATTGAGGGGGGGGGGGAGCTGTTTAAAGTGGCAAGAAGGATAGAGGGAAAAAAAGACGTTTGTTTTGAAAAACTTTGGCCAAAACTAGAAAATTTGTGTAAAGCTTGCTGCTCAGTGTGGAGCCAGCAATAATGGATAAAAAATAGGCCTCTACCTCTTAAATTGCCTCGATGTTCTGTACGCTTTATCTGCCATCTCCCTGATTAACCCTGACAGTTTGTGAAGTGTTCTTAATATCGCAAGTCACTCTTTACAGCAGAGACCTGGGGGGGGGGTTCTATACTAGCTCAATCCCCTAAGTGTGTGTTTGTTTTTGCCCGGCTGAGAGGGGTTGAGGGGGGGCTTGCTGTGGTTTTTAAATGGCTTTCTCCCTGCAGTGCAAGGAGCCTGTGCTCGTAAGCTGAGACACTTCCTCTAGTACTGCTGACCACCCTGAACCTTGTTGCAGGAATTCTCCGCTTTGGTTCTCGAAGCGGCATGACAACAAAAAGTCTTCTGGGTATTCACTCAACTCGTGCTTTCAGAAACAAGTCGTCTGCATCAGAGCAGCATAATCATGCATGTTGGTTCCTGTAGGAGCTCTGAAAGGCCTTTTTGTTTATGTTTTTCAGCTCAGCTTGTGACCTGTGACACCAAGCTTCGCGATCAGTGTAAAGGAACGCCATGTAATAGGTGCGGTTAAGAGCAAATGTAACAGAAGAACAACCACGTGAAATGGAGTTTGTGGGACAGTTAATCACATTTTCATAAATGATTCCATAGGTATGAGTGTCCAGCTGGGTGCCTTGATGCTACAGGGAAAGTAGTTGGGACAGTATACTATGAAATGGTGAGTACACATTAAGTCATGTGATTTACAAGTTGATTTAGGTACCTACTTTGGTAAATTACAATTAACTGTGATGACAAAGTGTCTTTGCATGCTTACACCTGTATCATAAAAAGGCCATACATGTTAAAAGGGTTGTAAATTAAATGTTGTATGTGATTGCGCAGCAATCCAGTGTTTGCAGAGCTGGACTACATGCTGGTGTTATAGATAACGATGGAGGATGGATGGATGTAATGAGAGAGGGCCGGAAGGAGTTTTTTATCAAATCCATTAAGAATGGAGTCCAGTCTCTTGGGTAAGACAATTTATATTTGAATCAACATCAACATCAACATGGGTTTGTAGTGATGTTATTTACTGGTATGATTAGTCAAATATACCCACTTTAATTAAGGGCAGTGTTGTCTAATGTCAGCGTTTTGTCTTGACAGGAAATACCAGAGTGCTAATTCCTTCACAGTTTCCAGAGTGGCAGGTTGGTGTGGCACTGTCATATATGATATGACATATATGACAGATATGTCAGATGTTATATTGAATAACTCATTATAAGCTGGGCTGCAACTTTTGTTTGTTTACACTCGCTGTAATTATTTCTTGCAGTCAAAGCCATCACATGTGAAACCACAGTTGCACAGCTGTGTCCATATGAGAAGCCTGCAAAACATTGTCCAAGGTTTGAACCTGACTTTAACTGTGCTTGTTTGTCAGTATTTTTCAAGTTTGAGTTTCACCTCTCATGTCTGCACATTCCTCTGTTTATGGTCCAGGCTGTACTGCCCGAGAAACTGTTTAGAAGACAATCCTCACATATCCAGAGTCATCGGTACCAGGATATACTCTGATGTAAGCCGCTCTTATTTTAACTTGAATTAGCTAAAAACTGATCAAATATGTGTGGAATCTGTGATTTTCATGATTTTTGTTTTCTCAAAGAGGTGAGCTTGTCTTACATGAAATTCTTGCTGCTTACCTGTGTAGAAGTCGAGTATATGCCGTGCAGCGGTGCATGCTGGGGTCATCAGGAACGGTGTGGGTGGATACATCGATGTGATGCCAGTGGACAAGCGGAAACACTACATTGCCTCATACCAAAATGGAATTTCCTCAGAAAGGTATGAAATTCTTGACCCACAAGTAGAAAAGTTGACTTAGTATCTGTGAGAAACAAACAAAACATTGTTGTAATTTGTCCGTCAAATACAAAGATCTTTTGGGGATTGATAGTGAAACTAAAACTTCACCTTAACACTTGAATCCTCAAAGTAAGAACACTGAAGACAGTTATACTTTATATATGTAAAAACAGCTGCCCTGTAAATCATACCGCAAAGTTATTCAATTAAAAAATGAATTAATAGGAAGTCAAAGTTTGAATTTTTTTTTTTAAATGTGGTGTGTAGTAAACAGGAATACCTTGTTTAAGGAGAGAACTGCTTCTCTGTCCCTCTCCCTCGTGGACCTAATCTTTTCAGGATGCGGGCAGTTTATAACAATGCAGCGAGCATGGCAGGGTGATTAGCACGCCTGTAGTTTATAATAATTAGCTGCTTGCCAATTGGTGTGAAGAAGATGAGTGTATCTCAAAGTATATATGGGCATATTCTGGCAGAGGTTTAAAAAATATGTATTACGTCAAAAAAGGGCAATCAGCAGATAATTATCTTAAGTTTTATATTGTCTGAAGAAAAAGTAGCAAAAAGCCACAGGCTATTCATTTAGGAAATAATATCCTGCAAGCATCTAACACAAAGTCGATGATTAAGATTTCAGAATGTTTTAACTGTGTCTAACCAGTGCAGTTAAACTTAAGCTGGATAGGATTGTCAAAGGTGCATCTACAGGAGGAATGGATTCTGTATATGACCTTCCTTTTTGTGAAACCATACAATCCAAAACTATTTTACTGTTGTCACACCAAACATGTTGAGATATTAAAATCACATTAGACAAAATAATGGCAACATTTGCTACCTGAGCATTAACAGAAATGTCTGATTAAATTAAACATATGCCGGTTTAATTTATTGATATTTGAATGTAGGAGTACCTTTTAACATCCTTGCCACACCTTGCAAGCTGCATTTGTGTAATTATATGCATATAATCTTGTAACCCTTACCATGTTAAGCACAAACCACTGAGTTAGGCTAAAACAAAAGGTATTTAGGTATCATTTTTAACCTTAAAGAACCTCAAAATTAAACCTAGATACATAGTGTTCAAGTATTCTCATACAGTAAGTTTGCAAACAATACCAACAAGCACCATCACATAGAGCACTGCATCGTCAGCATAAGGTTGTATTTTTGCTTATATTTACCCACAATTTACTCCAAAGAGGAGGGGATGAAGGGGATCACCACTCAGCTTAGGGACACATGCGAACTTAGAGGAGGAAGGAAGAGACATCTTTGGTTTGTACTGCAGCACTTGGAATGTTAGGAAGATTAAGCCAGGCAGTGAAATAGCTCCCTAATTGAAAAATGTAACAGAGTGTAAAATGTAGGCTACCTCTCTGGGAAATCCTATTGCTATTCTGGATCAAGAACACTAAGAAGGTATGACTTTTTGAAATAGAAAACATTCAATTGTTCACAAAGAAGAAAGCTTTTGTGAAATTACTTGTGAAAAGACTTGATGTTGATGCTTACAAAGAGAGAGCATGTAATGAATCCATGCTGTACCACTTCCCAACATCATTAAGGTTACAGGTCTGTACCAGCCTCTGTTTAAAGCCTAAGCGACCCACAAACTGTACGGTCTGTTCTACTTTTTTAGAGATATTTAACTGCACCAACTTTGGATTGTTCTCGCTGTATAATGGGTAGTGTTAACTTGACCTGTGTGGAGGACAAACACACACACATGCAGTCTCCCTTCCCTTTCTATCCTCTCCTTTTCTCTCCTCGTCTCTCTCAACCACATCCATCTATCTCACTCTGCTGAGAAGCCTGACGTCTGTTAGTATCTACCAATCATTTAACTTCACAGCATGTCTGTCTTTGTTGGATTAACATGTGACGTTCCCTGTGTTTGTGTAGAAATGGGTGGTTTATCTGTTTTCTCATAGAGCTTCTCCCGCTATCTGTTTGTGTCTTATCTGTCATCAGAGTGTCAGACGGCACACTGACGTGGACATTTCTCCATACAGAACCTGAAGTCTATCTGTTAATCTGTCATCTACGTCTCTCTGCAAAAAGCTTAGACGAGTTCTATAACTGACACATGCCCAATCCAGCCAGACTTGACTCTCCCTTTTGTTTGTCTCTTTCCCTGCAGCCTTCAAAACCCTCCTGGAGGCAAAGCATTCCGGGTGTTTGCTGTGATTTGAGTGGCCCCGAGGGCAGCTTCACCAAACAGAAAGAGCATTTGGGCTGTTGAATAGGCGGTAATCAAGCCCTGTTGTCAAACTCAATGACTGAAATGTTGCTGGCTTTACTACACTCTGAGGTTAGAGGTCATCTCCATGAGTGTGGAAACCCAGCAACTGAAAAATACACAAAGAAGAAATGTCCGGACTCACTTACACAAGTTACATTCACTAATTTTGCTGCATTTGTTTTTGGGAAATTAATGAACTGTAAATATTTAGTTGTACATATTTGTTAATATTTCTGTGCCATTGCCTTGCCATTTTAGCAACTAGCTTTGTATGAATACCAACATTAGAAATCCAAGGTAATAGCATAATGATGGCACTTAAGGATATGTACTTTATTGTTTTAAGTCTGGCACATTTTTACTGGTGCTCTGGAGAGATTTATTGACATATTTTATACTTTTAAGGAATGGGGAACAAATTGTAATGCATTTATTTTTATATGATTACATTTTATATCATGATGATTTATAAAGGATGCTGCTATGTTTTTCTGTGTTGTTGTTGTAATTGTCGGTGTGATGAGTTTTGTTTGTTCGGTAATTTTTCCAGATAATGTGGTTTAGTTAAAACTCCCTGCAGGACGGGAAGTATGCTCATCGCTCAGAATTGTCATTCTTTAAACAAAATCCACGCGCTCCACTCCATCATGCATCACAAATAACTGGATGTTGCAACCCCAAAGATGTTTTCAAGTGATCCATCTGCCTTTGACATTGACAAACACAGGCAATACTTTGCAACATTTTCATTTTATACAGTCTGAACGGGAATGGTGTTTAAATAAACAGACATATTTGCTATTTTCCACCAGCTCTCAGATTTGTTTCAAGCTGCAATCAATATGATGTATGATGATTTTTGTAACTGTTTCTCTTTTCATTCGTCATATTTTCCTACCTCAGATTGTTAGGAAAAGTCAATTATGCAATAAAACATTACAACCACAGCAGCCATCTCTCACTTGGATTCAATGTATTCTTCCTCAGATGCTTTCTCAAAGACATTTTTACACCAGGTCATTCTTTATTATTTTATACTGATATATTATAATTTAGATTTTATGTTAATTGGATTCAATATTTAATGTTTAACAATCAAACGAAAACTATTATGGAGTTTTGAGTTAATTTCATATTATTGCCAGATGCTGAAAAACTACAATTCCATAAAATAACTTCATTTGTTTTGGTTTCCAGTTGTAAGCAGCAAAAGAAAATTTTAGCCAAAATATTAAAAATAGTTTAGGTGAAAAGTGACATGATTATTGACACATCATTTGTGTCAAATAAACCCCAGCTTCAAACACCACCTTAAATCCATTTGAAATTTATAAATCCATTATCTATACCGCTTTTACTGTCATTGGCGAGAGGCGGGTACTCCCTGGACTGTTCACCAGTCAATCACAGGGCAGACATATAGAGACCAACAACCAGCAGCACTCACATTCAAGCTTACGGACAATTTAGAGTCAACAATGAACCTAACGAGCATGTGTGTGGACTGTGGGAGGAAGCCGGAGTACCCAGAGTACCCTAAGCATGCACAAGGCTCCTGATCAAAGGGAGCCGAACCAGAAACCTCCTCGCTGTGAGGCAACGCCCCTCACAACTGTACCACCTTGCAGCCCATTTGAACTTCAGCAAAGTCTAAATTAAATCTGGAATCACTTTTAAATATTTGCAGACTTCAACAGAAAAAGTAAACAGAAAGTTCTCCAATGAACTTAGCTTCACATAACAGATCTTAAAATGATCAAATACTGACTCAAAAACCAGTAAACCATTCCCGCAGAGGGCTATCAGTGGCACATTCCGTCTGATACTGGTGATAATATCCTCATATTAGAGCTGACAATCTGTTCTAAAACATTATTGGCAATGAGTCATTCCACATACATTCTTACCCAGCATATAAGCATGCAGAGCTGAAACACCAAACATCAAAGTATCTCAGGGAGTCACTGAAGTGGTTGGTTTTGTGGGTTGAATGAAGGCTGAACCCCTACAGTTCCAAATCTATTCCTCCATTTGAGGGAGAAACCTGCATTACAGACGTGAAAGTCTCTCAGGATGTCCCCCCCTCCCGACACCCATACCTTGGCGAGCAGGAAGGTTTGGTTTGATTTGAAAGGTCTTGGTGTTCCTCTTCCGGTCTGTCACCAGGGAGAAGGAGCGTCACTCTTCATTTGCTTCAGGGCAGCATTAGTGCAAAATGACCAATCCCTAATGGCCTCCACCATATCCATGTCCGGTGGTGTTATGATGTCTGCAGGGCTGCAATCGGTTGTGACTCAAGTTGCCGGTCTGTGTTATTCCCCTGACAAGTCCTACTAAATCTTAGATGATGGGATGAATATACTTCCACTGGACCTGTGACACAATGTGACATAACACAAATGCAATCTTGTGAAATGAATTGTATAGATATAATGTGTATGTGGGTCATATATCTGCATGTGCAGATTGGATATGGTCGCAGATTTGATATGGTAGCACATGTGGAGGACTACATAATACAGGTAGTGACCCTCATAAAATATAAAAAGAACAATAGGTCCTGCTTGTGAATTGGTGATCTTTCTTTTTCATGCGTAAAGCATCAAATCACAACAAAAGTTTTCTCTTGGCCCTTTTTAAAGGAAAGGTCTAGATTGTATTCTTTGTAATGTAATTTTTGAGACCCAACAGAAATCCACCACCAGAGAGCACTAATGTCAAGAAAAAAAAAGTCCTTTTAATAGGCAGAAACCTCGAGCAGAACCAGATTCATCGGTAGACATCTGCTGCTTCTGGATTGGTCGAGAAAGGGGATACAATGAAAGCAGGAGCTTCACAACATTGAATCACAGGAACCTGCAAGACGCACAAAATGCACAAAACCCTCGGGTAAATATCAAGATTAGGTGGGCATACAGATGAAAAATGGGGAGAGTTTCTTGGGCTGTCAAGTCCCCCTGTTCTATAAACATAATAGTTTCAAGTTAAAGCAACATATTAGATAACAGCTAACATTAGCTAACAATACAGCCACTTTACAACTAATATTACCATTATCTAGAACATGGATGAAAGATAACATTACGAGAAGATATAATAGGAAATGTGTTACTTCCTGTATAACTCAGTATTTCACTGTAACTTAATATAATTGAGAGCAATCATCAGCTGTTGTCTGAGGGTTAGCAAATGGGCTTCCAAATCTGCTGTCCTTTCTGCTGCTCAATAATCTTTACAACAAATGTTATCAGATACCTTTAATTAAAACTACGACTTATAGCAGTATGACATTGTGACATTTGAGCTTCCCACTCTGCGCATGTCTTCAGAGGAGGATCGCTGTCGTACAGTGCCTGGAAAGCTCTACCTCCCATACTATTCTTGAAGTATGGGTTCCACAAGTAGCCCTGTACTCTGTAAGCGTGTTGTTCCAGCGGATGGGAGGGCACCATAAGCTATTTAAAAAAATGATGGTGATTGACTAATTAGGTGATTTGTAGGCGAAAAAAAAAATATTTTACAAATCCACTCTAGGGAGCCAGTGCAGATTTTGTGTTTGCAGAATACTGACATCCTTTATTACTTTGTTCAAACTTTCTTAAAGCACACTCTGCATAAAGGGAATGATGTTCAAAATGCACGTGCAAGCCCATATATACATGCAAGCACTCATATTGTCGAACCCATCTTGTCAGATTACACCCAAACAAATGTGATTGGCTGTTCTCTGCAGGAGAAAGGGGTGTGTGGAGTGATTGATAGGCTGTCCATGTGCTACCTGCTTCTGTAAGAAGAAAAGAGAGGCATACATCAGAAAGGTGTCAAAACTCACAGTGGGGTGTGGTGATAGGCTGTGTTGGCGGGCTCTGAAGAATGAAAGGCAGGAGGACGAGATGGAGAGCGAGAATGGGAAAGTGGTGGGGACAGAAGAAAGGGCAGAGGGATAACCTGAAGGTGAGAGAAAGCAGCGTGAAGTTTTGATTCGGCGTCACCTTTATGCTCTCGACATTGGGATAGCGTCTGCAGAATGTCTGATCTCGTCCTGACTCATAGAGTTCAAAAGAAAACATTGCTTAACTGAAGTGTCATGATATAAAGTTTGCAGAAGTTTTAAACATTGTTTGACACTTTGTAGTAAAAAGAGAAATCAGCTGCACGACTTCAAATAATTAAAAAAAAAAAGACGTTCAAGACATCAGTGATTTTGATAGATCGTTGTTTGCCTTCATGTACGCCCCATAAGACAGATGAGGCTGCATTAGGAGCAAACTGACAGAGCGACAGCCACCGGCCCATTAGAACCAAGGAGACTGAGCGCCGCGAAGACAGATGGGATGAAAGACAAGCTCGCAGCTAGCAGGGGTCTGCATGGTGCCACCAGAGTTTTCAGACTGTCGTTTAAAATAAGGAAGGCCATTAATAACCTCCTCACTATGCTCTGCTCGGCTGCAGTCTGGTGCTTCTTGCAGAGCTAAATGTGGCACAGCGTGGCAGCAGACTGGCAGGCTGTGTCAAAGAGAGCGTACGCACCTGAGGGAGAGAAAAAGAGAGCGGTTGTTTGCCCTTCCTGCATGTATGTGTTTGAGTTTAATTGTATTTTTTCACTTACTCACCTGTTTATTTGCTATGTCATATCCCAACACGTTTGGATGGGAATCAGATCGCAGTGATGCATTCAGGGGAAGCCGTCAGCACCGAGGTGAAAAGCAATGGCTGCCAGTCGTAATGACTGTGCTCCTTCTTGTCAAACCTTTGCTTTGGCAGGTGAACTAAACGTAAAATTTGACAGGGAGTTAGTTTTTTTTCCGCTCATGATCCAAAAATATTACATATACATAGCCACACTGTGAATTTGTTTTTGCAAAAAAAAAAAAAAAAAAAGATGGAGTGGGTGCTTTGGTGTAGAAAAAATAAGCTTTTCCTGAGTGGCAATATGACTCATGTAATTATTGAGTTATTTCAGGCATTGGTGCTTTTAAAACAAGCCACTGACCAATCTGAGACATTTGATTTATAATAACCATTCATTACCAAACGGCTCTTATGTGACTGACTCAGCCATCTCAACTTAAAGCAGGCATTTAAATAGTTGCTCAGAACCATGTAATCGGTAAATTCAGCCAGATAAACACATATATTTAGATGGATACTTTACATTTCCCAAACAAGGATGACTGAAGAGTTATTCATGGTTTTTACAGCATATGCATGATTTTCTTTTGCATGTAAAGATGGTGAGCATGGTTTGAAATACTCTAAAAAAAAAAACACTGAAAGAAAATCCAAGTTGTTCCACTTTCTAAAAGTGCAAAGCAAAAGGAGACAGGTGTGAGCAGTGTAACCTAATACTGTCAAACTACTTGTTACCTATATGTGAATGGTTTTTGTAAGGTGGTAGAATCTGAAATGTGAGCCTCGGTGGAGCGTGAACAGACTTTGTCAACATCTCAGACGCTGACAGTGTGTTGCACCAAGTCAATTGCAGGCAGCTTTAACAAATCACATATTTTACTTAAATAAATGATTCTTTTGAAAAACACAGGCTTCTACTATATACTCAAGTGAGCATACAAAAGGATCCAGAACATATGGCAGAGTTACTTCTTACAGATCATGTCAAACAGAATAATATGTATCTACATATTCACATGTTAGCATCTTCTTTCTCCCTTCTTTTTATGCACAGAGTAACAGGCATTCATCTTACTCCTTTCACAGCAGGCTGGACGACAGCCATGTTTTTAAATGCTTTAATGGTAGAGAACTACAAATCCGATGATTTATTGTCAACAGTTTCCTCACATCAGACACTAACACTGACATTTGTTCCTGTATAAAAGGGTGTCAGTGAGACAGTTTAATGCTCTGGATGCAGACGAGGGCCACATGTAAAAGCCTTTCCTAAAACAAGCACTGTGGAATAAGGAAAGTGTGTGTATACCTCTCC